GTTTCTGCCTCCCAAGAATTTCTCTTACTTTCCCACCAGCCAAGCTACTTCTCTGGGGAGAATGGTGGTATTCAAGCCCCGTGTTTTCTGTAGTTGGGGGTCTCTCTGACATCCAAGCCCTCCCTAACGGAGGACAAAGGCGTTCTCCCTCTGTACTTCCTGCCAAGCCAGCCTCTGAGCCAGAGCCGGGGCCAGAAGAAGGATGGGCTGCGGCCCAGGAGTCAGGTTTGGATAGCGCAAAATAATAGCTCATTTTTTTTTTTGAAGGAGGGAGTCTAGCAAGTAATAACTCCCACTGGGATCTTAGTGCCATGAACTCTCTTGCACAGTTACAACGAGACCGCTTTTCCTGGGGACTCACCGTGTGGGTAGTGGTGGTGGTTGTATGTGGGGGTGTGTGCTTGTGGTTGTATGTGTGGTTGTGGTAGGGATGGCATGTGTGAGAGGGAACGAGTGTGGGTGTATGCAGATGTGTATGTTTGTACCTTCTTAACATGCAGTGCTTGCCTCCATCCTAATCTGCAGGTTAGAATGGTTTGTGTTCAGGGAATATTTCCTGACTGTACAATAACCTTCCCATCACTACAATAAAGTCTAACTTTCAGTTTTTCTTGCTTTCTATTCCTGAAGGTTTGGAGCAGGCTGGCGCTGCCTCCACGTGTGCAAGGATTACGGCGCAGCCCAAAGGCCTCTGGCAGTGGGTCCGGAAACCCAAGTTCCAGCCCTAAGCCTGGCCCTAATCAACACTCTCCCTTTCCTCTTCCTCTGCATTTCAAACAAAGGAATAAAATAGAGGGAAAAGGAAAGTGATAAGAGGCAAACAGACCACTTTATAATTTTCTATCCTGTAAACGAAAGTCTGTGCGTTATTAGATTTACTGAGAATTTTGCTGGTTTAACCTCAGACCTGGAGCCATAGCGATGGGATCTTATTCTCAGGCCTAACTCCATTGTATTCTTACATTCTCCGATTGACTTCTCTGCTCTCACATTTATTTATAGATGCTGATGCCATTTCCAAAGCTCTGAATTATGTTGTTTTTTTTTTTTTCCCTTAGAGATCTGAGAGCCTTGGCTCCCATTAGATCTATAATATCAGCGGCAGCTGTGTTGTGTATACAGCTCGCATGGCAACCAAAGGCAGTTGCTGGTGGTGAGAGCTGGTTCTGCTTTCTGCCCTGCTGAGTAAAGTACCAGGAGAAAAAAGGAGGCAGGAATGTTAGATAAGGGGGGCATGGAGGGGGTGCCGAGGCTGGGGGTGTCGCCACCATGGCCAGGCCTTCTGGGTGTTCCCATGGGGTCAGGGCGGGAATGTCTTCCCAAACAGAAGGGTCAGAGGGACTTGGACGTTGAGTTTCTACCTCCGAGTGCGCCGGCCAGGACAGGTTCCGCTGGCTGGGACCTGGCGCCCTCCTGCCCTGCCCAGGGTGCTATGACAGCGGCCCAGCGAGGGGAGGCGCACTCACGGGGAGCAGAGGGCTCCCCTGGCCTTGGAAGGAAAGGTCGCTGTCCCTTACTCTTCTCACAGCTAAGAACAATCACAGTGAGACTTGAGGGAGACTCGGTACCAACGGGCGTGATGAAATAAGAGGTAAACTAATTTTCTGTGCTTGGATCACTAAGGGTGATGGAACAATTGCTCTAGACAATCTCATAAATTGTCACCTGAATTTTTCCTGAGTTGGTACTCTCACTCTTCTATGTATGGTCATCATCATGGAGTGAAAATAACCCACATCCCCCCTCACCGGCACCATTCCCCAATCTGGGCAAGGAGAGGGGTCAGGATGCTAACACAGGCTTAGAAGGAATTGTGAGATTTGGAAAAGACCAAACACATTTTTGCGCATTCTGAATAGTGGCTTAGCTCCTAGTACGCCAAAGAGAGGTGTAAACAGACTAAGAACTGGCTGCAAAGCTGGCCTAGTGGCTTGTTACAAAGCTGTGTGGAGTTTCCCATTTTCGCCCTTAAAAGGATAAACGGCGCTGCATGACTTTTCAAGACAAAAGCCCAGAGTGGACTGTCCAGGAGGCCAGGGCCTCTCCTTCCTGGAGAAAGTGTGACAGTAAGCCACGTGGCCGCCTGGTGCTCTCTGGCACACGTGTGTCTCTGAGCAGTGCCCCGGGGCTTGTTGCCTGGGGCACCTCCATGCCAGGAGCAGCGGGCATCGGGCTGACCCCTCCCTGACAGCGGTGGCACAGGGACCAGAGAGGGACAAGCCGGCCTGGGGGGTATGTGAGATGGGGAGGGGGGACGCCAGGTGTAGCAGCTTCTTTCTATTTGGACCACCAACACGTTGCACGCACGTGGTCCTGCCCAATGCAGTGCTGAAAAATATGACCCTTAAAAAATGACCTTCCATCATCAACCCGCTTCAGAAAAGCTGAGTAATGCAAAGTTGTATCCGTGACTTCACAAAAGCCTTTTCAAAAGTTTTTAATAGCTGCTGTTTATTGTCTGGAGCCTTATTCCAGCCGAGTTGACCTTGGGACTCTGTGCTGTATCTAGGGGCCCCGCCTCAGATGTCAGCTGCATTGCAGACAACAGGCGTCTGGGCAGAGAGAAATCACGGTGTTGGAAACAGACGAGTTCAAAGTGCCTTCTAATGTGGCACAACCATTCTCATTACAAACAATCCCTGCAGAGTAGCTTCCTACCTGCACACTAAGCGCAGACTGGGCCTGAGAGCAAAGCCTCTGGGCACTCCTGTTTCCTTCCTGTCGTCACAGCAGTTCCCCGTTTGGGTAGCAAAGGGCTCAGGGGGCCACTGCACTCAATACAGTTTGAGTGCCTGCAGCAGGTTGCGTGGCCCGCGCCGCCCTGCCAGGGCGCCTGGCCAGGTGGAAGGCAGGCTTCAGGCTTCATCGGGCTGAGCTGCACTTGGAGTGTCCAGCCCCCGCTCCTAAGGGGCTTGTGTTGCAACCTTGGAAGGGCCACAGCGTGGGGCCTGGCAGTTTCAAGGGCGTGATAATAAATAGGAGGCCTCTCCTTTCCTTCCTTCCCACATGGGCAGCTCCTACCTTTCCCATTTCCTTTCCTTGTTGACTTAAAAGAACTGCTGTTTAAAACCTTCAGAGACGCACAAGTGAATATTAAAAAGGACCGGGCCACCCCCGCCCTTTTGGGGGCCCCACGGTGGAAGCCTGCCTACGGCCACCTGCCCTAGGCGGCTCAGACAATGGTGCCCAGTCCCCGCTGGACGGCACCTCAAGCTAACTCAGCTCCCATTCCTCTTCTGCATTGTTCAGAAGCTTTCAATCATCACTGAGAGGAACAGAACTACAAGGAAGACAGGCGCTCAGTACTTGACTTACCTGAGAGAAATAATGAAGTTGTTCAAATCTCTCTCTCTCTCTCTTTTTTTTTTAACCATAATCAGGATGTCATGTTAAATATCAAGGTTTTAAAATCCATGGGGCCCTCTCTGGAAGTGACGAGGAGGCAACACAGTGAGAAAATATGGACAACTCAAACACAAGCGTCTGGTTCCATTTTATTAAAAAACAAAACCCAACAAAATTTTGCAGTGAAATATCCTGGAATTCACAATCCTTTTCAAATCATTAGAGTTGCATTTTTTTTTTTTAAACCAGTACGTAAGAACACGATGGCACTTATTTACATGATAGTCTTCTATATAACAAAAATAGCCATGTGGTATATGTTTGAATGTTGCCGACTCTCATCCTTAACATTTCGTCACTCCCAGTATGAGACAAACTGTTCAGACTCTCCAAGCACACAGAGAATAGGATCAAGCGAAAGAAAGTCCATGTCTCCTAACAGAAGACAAATCCCTTTAAAGATCGCTTCTTAAAAACTTCTTTGTATTTCAAGATATAAAGTGCTTTGGAAGGAATAAGGTAGGTACTTGAGGTGGGGAAGAAGAAAAGAGATTTATACAGAAAAACAAAAACTACACTGCCTTCGCGAATCATTTAACTGTACCTGTGACTTTGTACAGAAGATGATCATTGGGTAAAATGGCTACAACATCCATTACTAAGTTTTTCAGCAATTAAGAGCTAAACCAAAGTCCAAATTAAAATTTACCCATGCAAATGCCACCAGGAATAACTTTGTTGATTTTGAGTCATGTGGCAAATACATTAGGGACGCACAGCCTCACGATGTGAATGTGCAGTGGGTGGGGAAGGCTGTCCCCGTGGGCCACACGGTCACGATCTGCAGCCAGGCCAGAGGACCTCACCGGGAAGCCATGTCAAATTTCACCTGTGACAGCGTTCGTTTTACAACAAAAGCACACAAGTCATGTTGAGAAAGGGACAATAAATCCATTGGATTTTTTTTCCTTGCTAGTAGGGCGCTACTAGAGACTGATTTATGATGTCACGTCCGACTATTTCATAATGGTTCATAATGCTCAATTCTTTCTTGGTCGCAGATGTCTTTTTCAGTGGAAGTCATGTGTTATGTACAGAGGGATTAAAATACATCGGGTCCTTCCTCTTCACATTATTGAACTGGCAATTGCTGGTCATGGTCTGCAGTCGACAGAACGGGCTGTCACACACACAGGGTCCAGCACAAATAACGCCCCTTTTTTATTATGAAATCTTTTATTACAAAATCATAAGCATGTACTTCTGTAACATAACAACATCACGCTCAAGCACACCATATGACATTTTAGGTGACATGTTCAAATTAAAACTATAAATTATTACACCCATATTATTACCCTACCAACCACACTCAAGCAGGCGTTACTTCCACCGGAACCAGTGTTCTGGGAAGGCTGCCCTGGGAAGGAGAATGAGCATTCTCCCAGCTCATTATGACTTTAAAGAACAAGACCCATTACTTTTTCAGGAAATGACTGGAATGTAACTTTTCACAAATACAAAGTTACTTCAAGTTTTCTAGATTATACTGACCACCCCGCTATAAAAATAACAGCCTGCCCGCCCCTCCCCCACCCCATACCTCTCTTTCTAATTACAAAATGGTACAACCATTCCAGATTACTAATATGAAAGCAAGAAGTAAATATATTATTACAGACATGTACAAAACACGTCAGTATTTCACACCATCTACATTCATAGGAAAGAAGTCTGTTTATTGATTTCCTTTGTTTGACAAGAATCAAGTTGAGAGAAGTGATAAAACAGTCAGGTCTTTGCCTTATGACTCTGCACAAACATTCCAGCCAAAGGCATCTTTTTACAAAGACAACAATACGGGTCAGCGTTTGCAGAAGAAAGGGCTGCTGGCAGTGACATGGGGTTCTCTTTCAACTTCTCAGGCTTTGTGCCATTCTTTCCTCTTTTGATAAACCAAATTCTCAGCTACTGAGGGAACCAGGTAGTGACAGGCAAATACCTAGCTGATGAAATTGTGACTCTAGTCAAATTAACTGGCGGAAAGAATAATGATTCTGCAGCAGAGGGCGCCCTGCCGCCTTGCAATAATACCCTACGGACCAGTCAGTCTCCTGGATGCCGACACTCGCAGGCTCCAAAGTTCCTATGTTAGTTAGTAGTCCTTCTTCAGCCACTCTACCTATTATTAGCACAGGCAAAGGTTTGGTATTTTCTTCAAAAGAGTGGGATATTCATTAACTAGCTCTGATACATGAAAACTCTTTGGCTATTGAAAACCATCTCATTCTCCAAGAGAATAATATTCTGAGTTGAATAAAGCGCTAGATTTGCCTAAAATTTTTGAAGGAGAAGGAGAGTAACCACTTGACTTTAAAGATGCTGAGGTACTAAGGCCACGAGACTTTTTTGTTTGTTTGTTTGTTTGTTTTTTAAATTTCTGGGTTTAGTAAGGTCAAACACCAGCCTGTAAGAGAAACCCCCTGAAAATGTCAGTTCCCTTCGACTGGGCAAGCACCTTCACTTTTATTTACAAGAGCATCAGGAGAAAATTTAGCTGGTCCATGGAAGAAACATGTCCATTGGATGGCGATCTGTCTTTGGTTTCTAGAGCATACATGGTCCCCACGTTTTCCCTGCTTCTCCAAGCCCTCTGCTTCAGTAAGGATGGTAAGACCACAGACTTACCGCCCAGCAAGGACTATGGGTAATTCAGGTTAAGCTGATTTCTCCACAGATTTTTCTCCTGTGCTCCATTCAGACCTGCAGGCCTTTTAAGATTATATGTTCTTGCCTTATCATCTCATCAACAAATATTAATGGGGGGGGGTGCACAGAGCTAATGGCCCCATAGTACGTGCTAACATCAACAGTAACAAAGATGAGATGGTCTTGCATTACTGAGATTCCTGACAAAAGTCACCTGATGAAGCACTTGAGGCAGGCGTAGTTCTGAGAGATATGAACGACCTTGGCAGGTTGCAGAACAAGCAGGTTTTGGAATTAAAGGGTTTGATAATTAAGGGTCCACATCTAGGATCTGGAATCTCTTCTTTAGTTTTGGGATGCTAACCTAGTGCTGTCAAAGACTCAGCATGGAAGAGTGTGGCTACCAACCCCAGGATCTTTACAAACAATTTTCCCTATTACAAAAGGCCTGGAGTTGTGCAATGGGGAAGAAAGTGGGAAGAGAGAAGAGGTAAGTGATGAGAACTCTTTGCTGCTTCTCAAAATGAATGTAGTTTCTAGGCAATCCAAACCTTCTCTGCAATCATGAGTGTTTAACTCCTTCACACACACACACGCACGCACAACCAGGTCAGCTGTAAACCCGGGGCATGAGCATTTACTCGGGAAGAACATCCATGTTCCCATCCTGCCATCTTCTCTTCTGGACCCCTGCAGGGCAATATTCATACCGCCCTTCAATGGCCTTCACCGCATGCACTCCTCAGTCCTGGCCTTGCAACACCTTGGATGAAGGACTTCTGGGACACAGAGCAGTGACCGAGGAACCAGCTGTCCCTCACCTTAGAAGGGTGGTTTCTTTGTATCTCTTTTTCAGTCTTAAGGAAGAAGTGGCCTCTCAGATCACTTATCGAAGAGCCAGCCCTCGTGCTACAATGTTAAGAAGCATGAGTGGCCGTCGCATATGGTACAGCCCACACATTTTTCTAAGAACTCCTGCCTTTGGGGCCTGTAGTGAGCTAGGAAGGTCACAGATGCAGGAGGAGGAAGATAATAAATCTAGACAGCATTCTGGAGTTGTTTCCTTGCTATGATTTCCCTAGGAGACTTTTCTGGCAAGGACGCCTTGGGAGCGGGGGTGGGGAGGGGCGGGGAAGAAATAGCTATAGATGATCTGCAATACAATCAGATACGAGAAGTGAAAACGGGGCTAGTTCCTTTACAGAGGAGCCTGCCATTAGCGTAAACTGGGTATTATCATCTGAAGTGCAAATACAGAGGTTGCCATGAAATAAGAAGACACCAACACTAACAACAGCGGTCACATGGATAACTCTATAGATCCACCAAGGCTTTGCCCTGAAAGATGGGAGAAGAATGTGTGTGGGTGCGTGCACAAAGGAAGAGATGGGTGACTGGAGAAAGCCAGACTTGGAGACAGAAAAGGGAAGAAATCTAAGTGAGAACATACAAAAATGCTACTGGAAATCGCCCTGGCTCCTCGCTCCACAAAGGGTGTGTGACTCTATAGGCCAGATTTGTTGAAAGAATTCTGATTTAATGGGATTTCTTTGTGTTCGGTCAAGGTGAGGCCACTTACTTTGTATGCTCTGCAAGAATTTTCATCCGATCAAAACTCATACATAAGAAAGAATCCTATGTTAGTTTATCTGTCAGCATTTTTGACTCTAAAAGCATGGTGGTCATGGGGAGGTCAGGACACTAACCGAAATAGCCACCGAGCACCACGGTTTTTCATATGCCTGAACCCAGAACCATGAATGTCCTGAGACATTTCCACTGGAATGAGGGAAATGCCGGAAACAAGACAAAACAAACCTCTTTGGACAGAGACTTGCCTCTGAGGTTACCATGCTTACTCGGGGACATCAGGACAGGTTGGTGCCTTTGCCACTCTTAACTTTCTACCTTCTCAAACTGTCCACTCTTCCTGCCTAGATGGTGCAGTGGACATCGCAGGGGTGACAAACTCTGGACACTCCATCAAGATTCAGGGGCTGTATTCATGATCAGGGCTCAGTTCCTCCCAAAGGGACCAGCCACACAGGAGGTAGCGATTCCTAGAGGCGACTCTACATTATTTTGAGGGAATGAAAATGCTCCTTTTCTAGCCCAGGCCTCAGGGTGGGAGAAGGAATTCTGATTTCAATTAAGAGTTGGGCTGTTGCCAGGCAGTTATAATTCACCAAGGGATGGCTGGAGGGTCACAAGCCCCAAAGGCTTTTTCTCAGCCAGGCCATACAAAGTCTGGTATTTGGCGTCATAATGAAACTTCCTACTTTTCCCTTCCAAGGCCCCAGGGGGCACCAGGCCTGGGAAAAGACCTCCTGCCAAGCAGGAAGGAGGACAGCTGCGGGTTGAGGTCAAGTTGGATGACTACCGTCTGGAATTCTCTTTGGCTCTTGAGTGCCATGGATCAGCCTAAGGATTTGCCATAGAAGTGAGGGATAGACTCTGGTTTGAGCACCACATCAACACGGTTTGCATGACCTTCTAAAAAACAACTGATCAGAGAAATAACAGTAAATGTTATTGGCCCTCAGTGGTGTGGTTAGGGAGTTTAAGCAGAAATTTCAGCAGGGGTGGCCTGAACATTTATCCAATACAACACAAATGGACCTCTGAGCCTCTAATTAGGCAACTTGGGTGGAGCCTAGTTCTCTGGGGGAGGTAATTAGGTTTTAACCTTTTTTCTTTATAAGGGTCAGGGAACCTTGCGAGGGTATTGGAGAAGCTAGAGACCTGTACTGTCCAATTGTTAGTGCCCAAATCGAGATGTTCTGTGAGTGTAAAATACGCAATGGCTTTAGAGAGCTAAGTACCAAAAAGAATGCAAAGTATTTCATTCACACTCTTCACATGACTCACATGTTGAAATGATAATATTGGATCAAATAAAGATATTATTACATTATTTTCACGTGTTGACTTGTTGACTTTTTTTACGGTGGCCGGTAGGAAACTTAAAGCTACACATGTGACTGGCATTACATTTCTATTGGGCAGTGCTGGTCTACATGCATGACAGAGAAATGCACATCAGTAAATATACGTCAAGTTTGCATACTCTTCTAGAGGGTTCCCCAATCTTCAGACACCCTCCCTGAATCAGGGGGTCCCCAGGGCTTTGGTGAGAGGTGGAGAGGAACGCTGTGGGGGGAGGAGGGGCTGTTTCAATTTCTTTTGCACTCTTTCATGCCGGTTAAAATTTTTTTTTCTACCAAAGTCCCAGGAGAGTCTTCCAGAAACAGACCTTTGGTGAGTAGAGAACCTCACAGACTCAGGGGTTCAGGTCCACGGCCTCGACTGAGCTTCCTGGGTCCCTCAACATCTCCGCAGCATCGTCTAGAGACTGCAGCGGCCACATGCAATCCACTCCTGCTGCCCCAGCCACCGGCTCGGAGGGAGAATGCTCATCAGGCAGAGGACTCTGCACTCCCGCAGGCCTGTTCTCTCTGGGCATGGAATACAATGCCAATTGCTTTTGCTGTTGAATTATCCTTCTAATTCCATTTGACTTAATACCAAAATCTGTTTTGGGCTGAGCTGACTGAAGGAGGGGTAGGTGTTGCAGGTCTAAGCTGACTGAGAAAAGAAACAGCTTGAGCTTTAGAACTGCCCACTAGACACCAGGAGTGGAGGGTGTCCAGAGATGGCAAACTTAGTCACTAACAGCGGATTGAAAACAAGGTAAAGCCAAACAACTCCTACTCCTACTTGGGCTTAAAACTTCAGTCCCTGAGATACTCATTCTCAGCAACACAGGAGCGCCCGATCTCAACAGCTGCTACTGCGTGTTACACGTCCAGCAATTCTGCCTCCCCAAGGTGGAAAGTCGGCTACGTGCCGTCCTGCAAAACGCAGATCTCCCTGCAAAGGGCTCCCTGGTGGTGCTGGGCCAGAAGGGGCCGTGGGTACTGTCTTGATAAATGCCTCCGCTTTACAGACGGACAAGCAGAGGCCCAGCAAGCACGTGCCTCCTCTGGGCATCCTGACTCTTGGGCCAGCGCTGTTCTTCATTGCTCCCTGGCGGGGACATTTTTGAAGGTGGCGATCATTTTCCTTGCCTTGCTGCCTACTTAGAAAGCATCAGAGGGGAAATGGTCAAAGGTGGTGACAAGGGCACACCGAGCAGTGTCCCTTGGCAGGTACTCCGCGCTTCGGCCGGCAGCGAGGTTTTATGGCGGAACCAAACTCTGTTTTGGGGTGAGTATTAGTGTAAGGAGGTGGGGGGCAAAGCCTCATGAAACGGGCAGAGAACTCAGGGAGGGAAGCATCCTCTCCTATCAACCCCCAGGGCAGCCTCCTCCAGGGGGCGAAGTGATCCTTGGTTGTCCAGAGAAACGGTTCACTTCCTTAGTCATCTCTGTCTGGGAGAGTCTAAATACACGTATTACAAAATTGCCCACTGAAAAAATAGCACATCTCTGTCATGGTTACAAAAAAAGAATACAAACATAAACAGTTTCAAAACAGTGGTGGCGCGTAGTATTCATTGGATACCTCTTCCTTTCTCTGTTTCTCTCTCAGTCAGGAGAAACTGGCCTTAGCCACTTCCCCTCCTGCACCGTTTAGACCAAATCCTTCATCAAGTCACGCCGCCCTTCTCACCTGGTATCCGGACCCACTCAGGGAGCCTTGGGAAGCAACCTGCAAAGGATTCACCTAAGTCCTTCCTCGAGGTCTGGTGAGGGGAGACAGGAGTGTGTTGGAATTAAGGTAGAGCCTGCATTGGGGTGGGGGCGGCGGAGACCCAAAGCTGACTTTTCTGAGGCCTCCGTCTCCTGCAGAAGCTGTGTGAGGTAACAAATCCTGTTCCAGTCTTGGGGAAGCTAAGTACAACCGATGTTTTGCTTTCAGGAACAATCCATCATATCTGGTCTTAAAGCTAAGCTTGTAATTCCAGCTACAAGCCCTACAGCCACAGAGAATGACCTTTATGCCCTGGAGGGGACCTCTGAGTTCAGAATTTCAGCCAAAGACGGTAAGACCCAGACAAACTAAAGTGCCTCCGAGAGCTTCCTTCTCACGTCACGCGGGCCCTCCACAGCGCCAGGCAAGAGGCCACCGCGGTGATGCTGCGGACACTAAGGAGCAGTGGCCTCAGCGGATTCACAGCTTAGTGTTGGGGTCTCTGGCAGCTGGGATTCTAAAGATCCATTGAAAAGAATTGAGATTCTTAGTGAAAGCGGGCCTTCGGCTGTGTTGGGGTGCGAGGCACTTCCCAAAGCCATGCACACTTCATGCTGAGAGGTCCAGGTCTCAGAGACGGAACGCACACAGCGGTCACAGCAGGAACGCGCGCTTCTAAACACAGCTCTCGGAAAAAGCTGGAGTGAATCAAAGGAAAAACAGAGGAGTGAACCTAAAGGAAACTAGACATGGTCTTTAAAAAGAAACCGCCAAAGACATCAAACAATAATTCCAAAACAAGGAAACAAGACCGGGAAAAAACTTGAAATGAAAACTAAGAAGCCCTAAACGTGTCCTTCCAGTCTGTTTTAGGAGCTTCTCAAGTGTGTGTCTACAAGGACATGGGAGGGAAAATCAGCTTTTGACTTTCAACCTGCCAAGGCCGTGGACTGTTGTAGAGAGACGGAGAACTGCATCCTGATCAGCTTGACTTTGGATATTGCTTTTCATGACCGTTTGTGAGTGGAGCGCCCTGCAGACGCCGAGGTGTTCTGGAGGCCTGGGTGCCTGGTCCAAGCCACGGGGCGCTCCTCCCTTCCTTCCCCTTGGGTCCAACCATCTCTATTTTCTATGGTCGCCATTTCACGACTTCACCTCTTCGCAGTCTTGGTCAGTGGAAAGTTCTACATCAGAGAGTCCAACCTCCATCGCCATAATGAGCGAGATGTCCGAATCACTGCTTACAGCTGGCTCCGGTTCACCTGTGAGGGAGAGCAGAGTTCAGGGGTCAAGGAAACTGCCAAACCTCCTGTAAGTGATGCCGCTTTCCCTGGCTGTCCAATAAAGGGGATGGGGAACCGAGGCCAGAGCTCCACGCACCCCTCCCACCTGCCCGGGGTGCACCCCTCTCCTTCCCACCTGTCGGTCTGGGGAAGGCAGACTGTCCTGGGAAACAGCCCTTCTCTTTCCTACACACTTGGCCCCAAAGCCTCCCCAGCCCCGACCCTTTGTAAATATGTAAAAAGAACAAAACTGCAATCCTGGCTGGAACCCACTCCAGCTGTGACTTCTGATCGTGATAATGTGCAGAGAAAGTTGCTGGTGTTCTAAAGCTGTGTGGCTGTGCAATTTTTGTACATTTGGAATTAGAAATATTAAAGATTTATTTAGCTACTTAAAAAAAAAACAAAAGTTTATGGAGAACACTGAACTGTGTCTTTGGATGCTGGTTATTTCAGTACAATTGTCTTAAATAGCATTTCTTTGAAGGTCAAAAGAAGATATAAGAAAAATTGACTATTTTGAAAAAAAAAGTATAGTTAGAGCCTCTTCTCATACTATTGCCCTAAATAAATTCTAAATGGGTCAAAAGTTAAATGTGAACAGAAGAAACTAATAAAGCTAGAAGAAAATACATCTAAGTGTGTGTGTGTGTGTGTATACATATAATAAGTAATTCTATATGAAAAAGCAATTGAGCAATTCACAGAAGATTGATAAATGTGAATAAAATTTTGAAAACTTGAAAACACACACACGAAAAAATAAGATCAAAGGCCTATCTTACACTGGGAATATTTGTAAAAATTTCACAAAGGATTCTATTTTTAACAGATTGAGAGCTTTTAAGTCAATAAGAAAAATAACAGACCAATAGAAAAATGGGTAGGTTACTATTGTGCAAATCACAGAGGAGTATAACAAAAATGACTAATTAATATGAGGTCAAAATGAGCTGCTCATTTTGTTCATGAAATCTTTGCTCTTTAAAAAACGGAGCCTTATTGTGAAGAGTACACTGAGGTAGATACTTTATATTACAGATTACATGTAGAACTGTTAAATTTTCACCCCATAATTTCATTTTAAAAAATGTATTATAAAGAAATAATCAGAGATGCAAAATACTCATTTAGTCATTATTTATAGCAGCAAAACATTCCGTGTAACAAAGTCCAACAATAAAGAATATCTGCTTAAACTATGTTACTTTTAAAGGACATCTTCTTGTTAGAACCATTAAAATGACATTTCCAGAGAATTTGTAGTTAAGTAAGACAATGTTCACAATATACTGTGAAGAGAAGACAGAAGTAGTCAAAGTTTTTTATGTGGTGAGGTTGACAGAGAAAGTTAGCTAGAAGCAAGGAAACCAAAAGATGCTAATAAGTGTTGTCTCCACAATTTTATGATTTATATTCATTTTCTTTCAAATTTGTTTTCAGCTGTACTTCCAAACACTCTGCAGTGCACAAACATTATTTGTTCACTCAAAGCATAATGAGCTCCCGCTCTGTGTGAAGGATGCTACCAGATGATAGGGATGCAGTGAGAGTGGGCGGTTCCTGTCCAGTAGGCAGACCGACAGTTACAAGGCAATGGGATAAGCACTAGGCTGGAAGAGGTAGATGGTGCTATAAGAGCAGAGAGGAGGGCTACGTATGTAACCATTGGCTGAGTCAAAGGCTTCCCGTAGGGTGAGATGTCTAAGCAGAGTCCTGCAAGATGACTCTTATTTTAGCCAGAGGAATGAGAAGGAAGAATCTTTTAAGCATATCAATAGCACATACAGATGTCTAGAGGTGATAATCAGCCTTTAGATGGATATCACATCATATTGAAATATGCCTGGAATGCACAGTCAAGCTAGGGGGTAAGAAGAGGGGAGCAGGAGAGCTCAGCTACATAAAAGGCAGCTTTAAAATCAAAAGATCTCGTATGTTCAATTGCCCTGCAAGAGAAACACGCAATTAAAAGACGAGACACAATGTCTAAGTACTGAGGAAGGCTGCTGGTTATAAAACTTTTGCTCTGATCATCACTGATATAACTTGCTTCATGGTGAGGTACAGTTAAGAGTTCATCATAGTAATATTGTGACTTTCATATAGATCTAGTAAAAAAAAAAAAAGAAGGTGGCACAGATAAAGCGCTGACTTAAGAGTTGTATGGAGCTTGCTCACTGTACCTGCTCAGGTGGCTTTTCCGTCACTCCTAGCTCTTCAGCCACCAGCCTCAGCAGATTTCATGGGTTCATTCTCACTGCAGTGTTTTTTAAATTGGAATGTGTGAATTAAAAGCAAAAGGGGCCACGGGGCTGCTAAAATGAGAGATTGCACAGGTTATGATGCTGTTTTGGAAACCAACTGTCCTGCAGCGCTCAAGGCAAGAGTGAATTCAAATCAATAAAAATAGAGATTTGCAAATAAATAAATAAATAAATAAAGTTTCAGTTTTGGGGATGTGACATTTGCATCAATCACATTATCTAATCATTTACCATTTCAAAACTTTAAAAAAATGATCTGAAGACATTTGAAATTGTTCCTTACAGTGCCCTATGTTTTTAATTGAACTTGGACTATTCTACAATTTTTAAAAGTAGGGTTTTATCTTTTAATCAAGGCAGATGTTTTACCTTGAGGTATGATTACTATATAAAGAAAAATGTTGTCACTAAGACATTCAGAATGTTCTCCATGTGTGAGTGTAAAGTAGCTATTAATATGAATTTTACCTTCTTTCCTGCGATGGATAATATAAAACAAGTGCAAAAATAAAAGTGGCCTTTATTGAATTCTTACAACAACTCTTTGATGTGGTGTTATTATTACAGCTTTAAAGATTTAAAAAACCCCTCTTAGTCCATTTGACACAGAGGTATAATACCTTCCTTCTCTTGGGTTTCATGCATTGTAAAGACACTGAGAGAATTTAAACGGAGTGATGTGATCCACTTAATATTTTAAAAGATCACTCTGGCTGTTAAGTGAAGAATAGACTAGTAGGACAAAGGGAGGAGGTGGTCCAGAGGAAACTATTGTGGAAAACAGATGAAACATGATGGTTTGCTGTGGCAGTAGGAATGGAGATAAGGGGACAAGTGGGAGGACTATTTTAGAAGAAGGAAATACAGAAAAGCGATGGGCTGGACAAGGGCAGCAAGAGATGAGAAAGTGGAGTAACTCCCGCAGTTCTTGAGCCACGCAGGTACTTTTTAGTGGGGAAACCGGAGGCCGAATGGGTGCAGATAGATCAGGAGTTGAGTTTTGAAACAACTATGGTAAATGTACACGATGGAATAGTGCTTGGCCATAAAAGAGGAGAAAATGTACCCTTTGCAACAGCATTGATGGACCTAGACAGCATTATGCTGAGTGAAATAAGCCCGCCAGAGAAAGACAAATATCATGTGATTTTACTCATATGTAGAATCTAGTGAACGAACTCAACTAACAAGCAAAATAGAGACAGACTCACAGACAGGAGGCTCACAGCTCTGGGGGGAGGTGCGGGGGTGGAAAGGCGAAGCGGGTGGAGGGGTCGACCAAAAAGGAAAAAGGACTCATGGGCATGGACAACGGTGTGGTGATCGCGGAGGGAGGAGGCTATAAAGGGGATAAATGGTAATGGAAAAAATACAATAACAAAAATAAAAGAGTTTGCATATGTGATGTTTGAGGTGCTTGTAAGAAATCCAATGTAGCTGTGGAGTTGGCAGCTAGATATCGTGTCTGGAGTTTAGCGGTGACCGTCAGCAAAGCTGGGAGGCTTCAGTGCAGAGAAGGTATTTTAAACCGTGGGAGCAGATGAGGTTTTCTAGGAAGAGACCGGAGACTGGAAAGATAACTCAGGGGAAGAGCGCCCAGGGTCACCAAAACCTACAGCCAAACACTCAGACCAGTGCCTTGACAAGATCTCGTTGGCCTGCGCAATGGTTTTTTAAAAAAATGTGAATCAGTTACCATTATTTTATAAAGTCAGGTTCTTTCACATATAAATTTATATTCGAAATTTATCTTGGAAAAACATCTGTCGCAACATGTGCCCAGTGCCCAGACGGAAAGCACTGGGGTGAGGCTCGAGGGCGCCACCGCCGGCGGAGCCTGCTGCACAGAGTCGGGTGAGCTGCTCGGCTGGCGGAGACATTTGAGTTTCAGATCTCACACTGCGGGGCAGGGAAGAGCACAGCCTGAAGACGGCCCAAGAACATTGTGTCACGGATTCGTTTCCTTTTCCCCCTTTTTTAAATTTATTTTGTTTCTAAAAATTATTTTATTTTTTATATCCTCACCTGAGGATATGTTTACTGCTTTGATAGAGGAAAGCGGGGGTGGGGGGAGAGAACACATCCATGCGAGGGGAAAACATCATTCAATTGCCTTCCGTACGCACGAGCTCCAACCTGGGATCGAACCCACAACCTTTTGGTGTATGGGACGACATTCCAACCAAGTAACCCAACCAGTGTTCCATTTTTTCCCTTTTAAATATATTACATTTCTTTACCTCCTTTATAGGCACTGACTCACAATTAACAGTCCATACCCAAGGGAATGGGATACTGTGGGTATCACTGAGTGGCTTAGGGTGGATTTAAAGACTGATCCCAAGTCATCTAATTCTCAGCCTCGATCCTCCTTCTCACAGCATTAAAGAGAATCTGATTAGCTGGTCAGCAGAAAATATTGTTTTAAATGGAGCCTTGTAACCTCCTTTGTTAACCTATCACTACTGCTTTCATATATTATTTCCACATGTAATTCTAAGTAAATTCTATCGGTAGCTTAACTGTGGTTAACCAAAAATTCTGAGTGGCGGAATGTGTCTTAGTAATTTCATAAATTATTATTATTTATAGCTTTTTCATTGAACTTATTGGTGTGACAATGGGTAATAAACTTATATAGATTTCAGGTGTACAATTCTAGAACAGATCATCTGTATATTGTATTGTGTGTTCACCACCCCAAATCAAGTC